CTGTCTATAAACAAGCTCATTTCCGAGTTGTTTGCTTTGAAAGCTGTTAAGTATTACGACCATCGTAAAGAACAAGAACTTAAGAGAAAGTTAATTGTGTTAACGATGTCTTGAGAGTGCAGCAAACTGCAAAATGCCGCGTCCCTGGCGGGGATGAAGCATACATAACCTCCCAGGTAGAAACCGGTCAAAAGACGAGCCAGGCCATTTACGTCAGAATTTACCAGCCCTGTGAACTTGAATCAACACAGTGTAGGGTCAATTCATTTAAAGCCCGGTTTATTAGTTCAAATGCCATTATAGATTTATCACTCCGAACGATTTTCAATAATCGAGTGGGTGATTTGTTGACCAACCTACGACCATGTTTGCATATCAGGACAGTTAATTAACTATATTGTCAATTTGAAGACTTCGAACAGCATTTCCTATCAAAATGCTGCATATTTGAGATGACTCATTATCGCAGGCGTATGCTGATTGTGCGATCTCTCGATGCAAACGAACTCTCAGCTTTATGAAATAGCTCATTTTCTTCCAAGAGTTATCTCGTTTTTCATCGCCTTTTTGGTCTGGGTTTTTTCTCAAGTGGCGGCGCGCCAAAAAAGAAAACAATTGAGATCTTAATGATTTTTCCATCAGAAAGGATGATATAGGTAAACGTCGACTTAACTTGCATTGAAGCTACAGCCTGAGGTACAGAGAGGCATTAACTACAAGCAAAAGAGGAAGAAACGAAAGTGACAAAACGATTAAGGCTTGTTGTAATTGTCCTGTTAGTAAGTTGGCTGCGTGTGGCTCAATTTGTAGGAAAATATCAAACGGGCTCGCTCTTTTGTCTGCTACCAGTGTTCTGATGTTTGCGCCAAAAGGGTTAATCATGGTCCGGAAGGGACACAAGACGCATAGACTTCAAGAACGAAATATCGATGAACGAAATGAGACATCGTCTTCAATGATAAGTGGATCAATTTCCACAGAGCAGCCGACAACAGTGTCAACAGGAATGCACCAAGCGGGACGAAGCACAAAGGACACAAAGAACAACTGGGAACCTTCAAAAGCCAAAGAACATTCATTGGAATTTGGAAAAAAGGTTACAGGTGCTACAAGGATCACTTCCTCTTCGACATTACATCAATCGACTACGGGATTGTCTACCTCGGACCGTGAAGGTATGATTTATATGTGGGAGTGGAAGGCGGCAAGGGGACGGAATTAATTACAGTTCAGGGCCGGGTTGTTCAAAACAGGGTTAAAAGTGAACCCAGGGTTAGTGCAAAATTCAATGCTTAAAAAGCAAAATCAGTTTTATTCTCTTTGTCTACAGTTTGATGACTGGATGGCCTAAAAAGAATAGAGAAGATAATCTGGGAAAATTCTTTTGAACAAAAGAAAAAGAAACCCGGGTTAAAATTTAACCCTGGGTTAGCGCTAATCGGCCTTCAAAGTAACTGGGCCCAGGTGTCTGGCCCGGGAGGGAGGGGGGGGGGGGACACTCTTTCACAAGAGGTTAATAGGGGTGGTCCGTTGGATGGCGTCCCTTTTTTTAAAGGAGAGGACACAAGTCTGGTTCGCCTTTTCAAAATATTTAAAAGAACGAGTGTAAAAATTTACGGGTGTGGGGAGGAGATGGGAATAAAAAAGGTGTGAATTC